GACCCCCTTTCTCGGACCGGGGGTCGACCGGTGGCTTGCAGGGCTGCGAGGCACTGAGCACCACCCTCGCGTCTCCGAACCGCATGGATGTAGCGAGTGCCAAAGAGGTTTCTCCGAGCGACGGGCAGGATCTGGGACCTGAAGACGAGAAGTCCGAGGAGTCCCAGGAAAGAGCGGAGAGTCCCAAAGAGTTTCTAGATTTGGACAACCACAACGCAGCCACGAAGAGACAAAGCTCAGTGGCGGCAGGGGAGGTGCTTCTCGGGCGCCTTTTTTTGCACCTGGGTTCGGGAATGGGATTCGGCCCGTCGGCTTTCCCTCCCCATGGGGTGATGCTACAGACTGGCTCTCCTTATGCATCCCGGCATCCCGCCAGTCATTTCCAGCCCAGGACGTACGGATCGCCCATGAATGCTCATCTGTCTCATCATCCAGCCTCTGGCCAGGCTAACGGCCTCTCTCAGGAGGGACCCCTGTACCATTGCCGAGAGGAGAATGTGGGTCACTTTCAGGCCTTGCTGATGGAGCAGAGAGGCAGTGGAGGTGGCATGGGGGGGCCACCCCAGGACTTGTATAGACCCTCAGGGTAAGATCATGTTTTCTGCAAGAAGGCAGGGTGGGATGGGAGGTGGTGATAAATGTTGGATATTGAAAGGATGTGGCTTGAAGTCAGAGGAGATGGCCAGCAAAGTTGAAAGTCTTATCAGGTGACTCTTGGACCCTTGTAGTAAGAGGTCTCTTAACCTAGAGAGAAGGTCTTGTTGCAGCTCCTTAAAACAAGTAGCTATCACTATCACGGGGACCTGTTAGCCTGTCCCAGCCATCCCTACACCAGTGCTTTGTTTTATATTTTTCTCTTTTTTTCTTTCCTTTTTTTTCCCCATTTTTTGTTAACGTGTCATCCAGGGTTGTGCATCTCTTAATCAAATAGATTCTTGCCGTTTTCATTGCAACTATTGTATTGCATCTTTCTCCAAGTGGGGCACAGTAGTTAACTCAAGTGGAAGTTAGCCTGTTGTTATGAACTCCCTTAATGTTGCCCGCCTTTTCCCCTCCTCTCACTTTGCCCTTCTTCTCTGTCTCAAATTTCCCTCACAGAAAATTACTTTTCACTGAGACTGTGCGTATCACATTGTCTTCCAGAGTGGAAAATTCTGCTACTCCAAAAATTTCCTGTTCATATTATATAAATGTGCTTCGACTGTTACTGTTCTGTTGTAGTCCCAGCATGACAGTCCTTCTGGTATTCAGGGAGCTATTGGGAGAGTGGCATAGATTGAAGATTCTGTTTTTGGGGGAAGCCAGAAAGAATACACAAGATGCATGCTTGTATGTGAATGTTGTGTGTATGCAATCAATGAAGTAGATGGGATTTGCTCTTGATGTTCATGCTAAAACTCTCTTCATTCAACCTGGCTCCAGAATGCAAATGCATCAGGCTCAAGTTCCCTTTCCGAAGATGCCTACAGCAACCATGTCCCGGGAAGATATGACTCCACAAAAACCATCAGCATTGCCTCTGGATCAAGTAAGGACTTCTACAGACAGCAGAGTTGAAATGCGAGCCTTTCTCTTCCCACTGGTTAAAGGTCCCACTGGTAAAGTGTCTGATGAGAGTGGGGAAGCACTGTAGGGATCTGGGAAGTGAACTGCTGCTGTGCAGAGGAGTTGGGGATGTCTCTACAGTCTCAGCTGACTGTAAAATGTAGCGTAGGCAGACCGATAGTCCCAGCTTTGAACTGGTTGCATGGAATCATGAGGTTATTCCTTTATAAAACTGCCAGTTAAAGGCTCCAACTCTTGTTCTTGCTCTTCCAGAGCTAGTCCGAGGAAGGATGGACCTCGCAAAGAAGAAAGCCACAAGTGATTTGGACAAGGGGGAGGAGGGGCAGGCCTTCCTCCCACTCTCCCCTCGCCCGAGCAGCATGTAGCTTCCTGGGTCTGTGGAACACGGTGCCGCAATGGCTTTTGTGTTGGAAACCTGGAGTGGTGCTGGGCCCCACCCAGCCAAGCAGCTGGCTCGCCACCGCAGGGAGAGCATCGCAAACTCATGGCTTTCCGTGACTGGAGACTGCGTCTTGTTCAGGGTTTGAGGGATTTTTCGGGTGGGGAGGGCGGGGGTGGGGGCAGAAACTTTCATTGACTGCTAAACTCAGGTATATTTTTCAGGGTGGAAGAGGATGATGATAAAATTTTACTTGTAGTATTAACGTGTGTGTTCTGGAGCTGGATCCAGTTTACAGAATTTAACCTGTTGCCTTTTTAAATAAATTTCTGTTGTTGGTGAATGTATTGTACATAATGGGGGAGGGGGTGGGCCCAGCTTGTAGTGGGCTTAGCACTGGAGGAATCCTTAACTGTTTACAATCATATCACACTGAAATCTTTCAGGATAGGGTGAGGGTTTGGGGGGGAGTGGAGAGAGGTGAGGGAATGTGTGACTTGCTGTCATCCTTCTTGTCCTCTGCAACCAAGACACAACCCAACAGTTGGTTGACTTAATAGCAAGAATTGCTCAGGAGAATGACATGTCCGTCCTCCTCTTCCTCTCATCTTCTTTCTCCTTCCCCTCTTACCCCCACCTCTGCCCCTCTGGATCCAGGGCCTGAGTGCACTTCCAGCTCCTGTCATCAGGGGGGAACAAGGAAACCAGGACCAGGAATTGAAACCAGGACAGGACACTCATGGCATTGTCCCTTCTGCTAGTATAGTACCCTTCTCCCTGCTTTTCTGATAGAAGAAATGTGTGCTCTAGAAGATGGAAAATGGCATAACTCGACGTCTTAGACTTCTTTCAGTGAAACTGGTGGAGCAGCACCTAGCTGGTAGAACAAATCTGTACTGCAGCGCTGCTGAGGAGTGGAGCTGAGTCCCTGCTTTTCTTTCCCTGTCCCTTGGCTATACTCACTTTTTAGCAGCAGTGAAGCAGAAAGTACCCTGGGATTCCTGACCACTCTGTTACCCTGTGAAGGAAGAGCATGAGGCTGCTTTGGGGGAACAGTTTATTTGCTGCAGTGTGAGCTGTTTGTTGGCCTGTGAGTCGGATTTAGTGTTTGCAAGTCGCAGGTGAATCAGAAAGCACTGATTCGAAAACAAATTTTGAAGTGGCATGGCTCAGGGGCTGAGAGATGAGAAGGCAGCATGCTTGAGTTGATTTTTCTTGGGGGAGCTGGGCTAAAACAAGGTGAAGTCGCTACATGACGAGATTGGGCAGCATGATTTGCTGCGACCACAGCCCTAGCGCAGGCTACTGGTTGCCCTGGGGCACGGCGATGTGGTTAAAAGGAGGATGTGCCAATGTGTTGCACAGATCATGGTAGCAAAAGCAGAAGTAGCATCAGGAGTGAGGACAGGGCAGCATGCCCTTTAGTCTCTGGTACCAGCAAAGGGAGGGTGTTTTTCTCCAGGTTTATGGAGAATTTTTCTGGCCGCTTTGTTGTCTTGGATGGTGCCATCACCTCTATCTTTAGCTGGATTGCACTTGCATGCGCAGCTGCACTGCCTTTGTCCTGCTGTGTAGATCTACCTTGTGCTGGCAAAGCTGTTTGACCAAACGGCAGGTAGCATCTGACTGAGCCATTACTAAGCCTTTGGAAGCACAAAAAGCCAAAAAGATGAGAAATACTCTTTCTTGCAAAGGAATAAACAAGGACTGCCACACCAGTGCACTCTTACCAATGTGTCTCGCTGCACTGTTCCTAGAGTAGTTTTGCTTCTGATGAGCTTTGTAGGGCGAAAGCATTTTCCAAGCCTAAGAGGAGTTAAACTTCTTCACACTATGGCCACGAGTGTGTTTATAAATGCAGTTCTTACTGCTGCAGCTAGCCTGTGAACTATTAGCTGCTGTCTGCTTAGCCCAGTGAGTTGCCTGGGACAGCTGCCTCCTCTGCAAAGTGAGACATCAATATAATGTGAATTACTTACAATATCTATCTAAAGATGCCATTACATTACAAAAGGGAGACTTTTTTGAGTTGCTGGTTTGGGTTTTTTTCCCATTGGTGTTCATCTGTCAGTGAGCAATTGTCACTGGTGGATTGGTTTAAACTGGAATAGATGAGCCTTGAAGGTTGTCCATTGTCTGAGAAGTAGGTAACTTCTCTCCCCAGCCAAGACAATACGGATCATCTGAATTTGTCCCAGCTCAGATCTGGTCTGCTATTGGCTCATCAGCTGGTAGTGGGTTTTCAGAAGTGCCCCAGCTGCTCAGAAATGCAGGTCTGGATCCTTCTGTGAATGAAAGTACTGAAGCAGTAGTAGGTATTTATGAAAAACTGTGCAAGTGTAACTGTTCTTCAAGACAATAAACCTGGGACAAGTGAAAACACAGCTGTTTCTCCTTGTAAAGCAATTTTTAGTTCATTGTAGGTATAAAAAAAATTTGAAATAGCACGTTTAAAAATAGAGAAACTGCAAAATGTAACTTGTAGCAAAGTATTTGAAATTCTGGAAATGTAAATGTAGATTCTGCAAACAACTCCTCCTGTGCTTTAGCCTGTATCACAGATAGTTGCCCGAATATTTGAAGTGCCTTTCATTCAACTCATTGTGAACTTTGTGAAACAGGATGGGTTTAAAAGCTATATTAAAAAAAAGGCAAAAAAAAAAAAACCAAACAAACAAAAAACCCCAACCAAGCTCAAGGAGTCTTGGCCTTCAGCTGAAACTGGCAATGAAAACATGGTTCTAGTGGTCATGGTATCTGACTGAGTACCAAGCCCAGATCAAAACGGGAGAAATAAGAAAGGCAGGAATTTCTTGTGGTCTGCCTAGAGAGAGTAGTGGAATGCTGGACAGTGATAAATACCCTGAGGATCTTATCCTGGAGTGTGTGACATGAAGATATTATCCCTTACCTGACATAATGCAAATCCGTGGGAAAGACTTGACTTGCTGATGGTAGACAAAACATATTAGTGAAACCAGCTCTTCCTGAGAGGGTTTCTAGGTAAATGGCTTTTGATGTAGTCAGTAATTAAAGTAACTAACAAGCTGCTGTTCTGAGGACACATGGTTTATATTAGAAAAGTACTAATAGAGTGTAGAGGGAGCTATGGCTGGGCTACAGAGATAAGGGCTATCCTGGGGAGAGGGCACAGGAGAACCGCTTGTGGAATCTTGGCTTAAAATTTCCAGACTTTCAAATCCTTTGTTCATAAGTGTTTGGGGATTGGGTTTTTTGCTGGTTTTTTTCCCTTTTATGATGATATATAAGGATCCCCCCAAAACCAGAGCTCTATTTTGCTAGGTACAATCTGAGCAAATCACAGAAAATCAACACCTCTCAGAGGACACAGGGCAGGGGAACAGATTGCCAGGGTGGAACACCACTGGAAATGTATGGAGAGGAGCAGAAAATGTGAATTTTATAGCTCATGGTTTCCCTACCCACACTGCACAGGGCTGCTTTGTATATATTGTGAAAGAGATAGGTTTAAGAAAGGACTTGGAAGAGAGTAAAATGGCAGCTCTTTATATATAGAGTGGTGCTTTTTGCCATGAGTTGGCACACGGTGCAGGAGAAATGTAACTGCATTTTAAAATAACCTGGCTTTGAGTGCCATACTTGTGACGCTGTCTTAAATAATATTTTAAAACAATACAGAAAAATTCTAGACCCTGGTTGGAAGCCCTCTTTCTCATTCCCCAGCATTCTTGTAGTATAATATATTACCAGTTGGTCCTTTTTAAGAAAGCATCCTGAGCTAATGAATTTGTAAAGTTTCCTGTAGCTATTATTTTTCCCATATGGAGGATGTGTTTTGCTATAATTACAGATTTCATGTTAAATGAGACTACATAGTACATAGAACAAATATGATGCTGACCATGCTTAAGCATGCCAAAAATTTCCAATATTCTTAGAAGAGCTTTGTACAGTACTCTGAGTTTTCAGCCTCTGGCTCTCCCCACTACCTTCTCCTTTGCAAGTGGTGTGTGGTGTTCCCAAGCTCCCGAGATGTTCAGTTGCCATTATAAATGCCGCTGTATAAACTCCCTCTGGGACTCTGGAATCTTTGAGCATCTTAAGTAGTAGAATCTATGATTCTATGATCTTAAGTACTACAGGCCCTGGCAATTCAACTAAGTATTTTAAGAAGGCCAGTCACTGAGGCTTCACAATGAATTTTGGCTGTGTTGAGCAGAAGTTTGCAGTGTATAAATTCCATGGTCTGACCCACCAAACCACTCGGTAGCGATCCAAGGTACCAGCCTGCAATGAGGAGGACAAAAGAGGAAAGTAAATTTGAAACTTCAAGGCCCAACTGGTTTGATTTGTGACTTTAAAGTACATGTAGACACTTCTTGGAAGAGCTTCTGATTCTTTCTCATCTGCCAAATGCCTTTCCTATGCAGACTTTCTGAAGCAAATCTCCTGTGTATATTTTTGTAAGTGTGGTTTCTCGGGGTCTTGGAGAGCTATCAGCTTCTTGATGTCTTATCTGAAAGCGAGTCACAGAGGCTGTCTTTCATTCTGCTGACTGAGGCAGTTCTCCCGCAGCTTCTCACCCCAACACTTCTCCATTTAAAATGAAAATATAATTAGAAAAAAACTTCCTTTATTTCCTCTACTGATCTCTTGTCAGTCTTCTGACAGATCTCAGTGTTCAGCCAGCATTGTCGCTTTGTTCTCAGTAGCTTTGTTCTGCTTTCCTTTTCCTAGGAGATGGTGTTACCATATGCATTGTGGAATTTCAGAGAAGGTGCTGAACTGAGTGACAGGGAAGTGTCATCCCAAAGGGGGTGGCTTAGAGAAGATAGGCAGGGGAATTTGCGATGGTTGCTCCTGGTTCCCTTCACTGCAGCACGACCATGCAATTGGGTCTGTGCTTAATCAGAGCAACCCCTTAAATTTTTTTTTTTACTGCAGTGCATTGGTCTTGGAGGAGTTCACTCTTGCAGAATTCCTGTTTCGCTTTTTTAAGTCCAGCGCTGGTGGTTGAAGAGCAGGTGTGTGAGTGTCGTATCCTTTCTCTGATGCCGAGATTGAGGTAGCAGGCTATGAAAGTAGCGTTGCAGCTGCAGGCCATGTGACAAGCTTTAAGAGCGTGTGCTTATTGTAACTGAGAAAGCATCTCAAACGTTGACCTTCCAGCCTTTCCCCATCTGTACCTGTTTAACATACAGATGGGGGTAAAGCACATTTGGGCTTGGCAGGACTCCTGCCGCCCATGCGGAAGGAAAATGCTTTTAATCAGCCCATAATGAACTACGCATTCAGGTTTTCACTCTCTGCTGTCCACCTCCCTCTGAAAAA